ATCTGTACGTCAGGTCGGGTACTTCTGGGACCACCCTCGTAATTTTTATGAGCTTGAGTATTATCCCAAGGAGCACAAAGGTGTGAAAAAGTTCTTACAATTCCATAAAACGTTTGTACAGCTTATATATGGGAAAATTATACGACAAAAATAGTTAATGTCAATTATACAACTACTTGTAGTTTTTATAACGTCCATACAATTTCGTACAAATTAATCGTTATATGATATTCATTTTAAGATTTTGTATCGTCTATAGAACTTTTATTTATGTTAGTCGTCTTGTAATACTCATTACAAGTTTTTGAAACATCTTTACAATTGTTTATAAATTATAATCGTCTTGCAAAATAAATATCATTGTTTTTGAAACGTTTATGACTCTATATGTTTTAACAATAGATAAAGGGCAAAGTAAGAGTCAGCGCATTTCTTTAAAAAGTCATACAATTAAAGGAATAAATTAAAATACAGAAAAGATAAAAAAGAAGAAAAAATATATAATAAAAAATAATAAAGGTGAAAATAAAATACAGCATTACAAGTTTCGGCTACCGGATTGAGCTCTCTTCAGACGTTAAAACATATTGGAATTAACAGTATTACAAAATAATTATCGCAAATGTTCGCAAATTAAAGATATACGCAGTTCAGTTGAATCTCAATGTAGAACTCGACATTATTCACGTACGATTGAACAGTCAAAAATATATCATATCTCTTAGAAATGTTCTAGTTGATAAAAAAGAAAAAACTTCTTATGAAAAAAGTAACCTTGAATAAATTAACAACCGTAATTATGATAAGAAGTAAAAACTTATCAACAAACATATGTAAATTATCAAAACTAATGTATCTATATAAGTATAACGAATAATAATAAAAAAACATAAAGACGAGTGAAAACACAGGCATAAAAAAAAGACATTGTGTATCGACTAATGTGCACGCTCGCTGAAACGAATCACTACGTACTGAGAGAAGAGACGAGAGAAGAGAGAGAAGAGAAGAAGAGAAGAGCAAAGAGTCTGTCCAATATAAGACGCATCGCAATTGTAATATTTTATGGACTACGTTGCTCTTCGATGGGGACAAATATTCTTCTTTTTTTTTTATTACTATTTTGTTATTACTATTCGTTTTTTTATTACTATTCGTTATACTTATATAGATATATTAGTTTTGATAATTTACATATGTTTGTTGATAAGTTTTTACTTCTTATCATAATTACAGTTATTAATTTATTCAAGTTTACTTTTTTCATAAGAAGTTTTTTCTTTTTTATCAACTAGAACTTTTCTAAGAGATATGACACATTTTTTACTGTTCACTCGTACGTGAATAATGTCGAGTTCTACATCGAGACTCAACCGAACTGCGCATATCTTTAATTTGCGAACATTTGCGATAATTATTTTGTAATACTATTAATTTTAATATGTTTTAACGTCTGAAGAGGACTCAATCTGGTAGCAAAAACTTGTAATGTTGTATTTTATTTTTACCTTTATTATTTTTTATTATATGTCTTTTCTTTTTTGTTATCTTTTCGGTATTTTAATTTATTCCTTTAATTGTATTTACTGTATGACTTTTTAAAGAAATGCGCTGACTCTTACTTTGCCCTTTATTTGTTGTTATTTATTTTCTATGTGCTTTAATTCAACTTTTAAGTTATAATATCTAATGTTTCGGTCTCGTCTCGACAAAACGAGACTATCTTGATAAACAAATATATAAAATGAGGTTCGAAAGAATTTATCAGTGAAAAATATAAAAAAGCCCATCAGAGCCTACATCAGCTGTTCGGATGCACAGAAAACTCTTTATTTTCGTGTGAACATAACAAAACAAATAAAATAAATGTTTCGAATTAAAAGGGTCGAATTGAAAGATCGAAACATTTATTTTATTCGTTTTTTTACATGAGCTGATGTAGGCTCTGACGGGCTTTTTTTATATTTTTCATTGATAGAGACTATCTTGGTCTTGGGCTCGATCTCGGACCTCTAATTTTTAAATTCTCGATATCGTCTTGATCTTAAATCAAGAATGTCGTTAATCTTGAATGGAAAATTTTTTACGAATTATATTTTTTATTGCGGACAAATGAATGGTAAACGTGCGTACACGGTACACAGATGATCGATCCGAATCTCCAGCTGCGAGGATTTTGATAAGCATTTGTTATTCGCCGAAATACTCACGGCTCGAGATTAAGCTCAATAATCTGAATGTACAATATATCTTAAAACAATTGATATTTGCGGATTTCTCCGTACAGTAGAAACTATTTTCCCTTAGATTATTTTTTTAAATTTATGTTATTGTTACATCCAAACTTCGAAAATAGATTTAAAGAAAAGAGGGAATAAGAAGGATGAAGTGTAGAAGGACGGTCAGACTCTTGTCTCGCAGGTATTCGCACAAAGGCGAGTACTGCGAGTCGAACGCACTCTTTTGTGGTCGGAATATGGGTCAACGTCTTGCAAAGACACCTGCTATGACACCTGTTTCCTACGAGCGGTGCGATCGTCGGTTCGAATTTTGAGTCAAGGAATCTAATCTCTTTAACTCAGGAATAGACCACATACGATCTCCGAAAAGCCAAGGTTAAACTACGAGGTTTTTTTAGGGTTTTAAAATTAAAGAACGAGAGAGAAATGAAAAATTATTAGTATTGTTTATTGTTACTAACTATTATTATCAATCGAACAGAAGATAAAGAACAAGGTTATACATTAATAAGTTTATTACTCCTAATTTATACATTAATTGATATGATTAGTATAAAAAAAAATTTATACATCCACGCGATAATCATTATTAACTAATTAACATTTGACATCTATTTAGATTTTATGCATGTTAAATCGTCAGAGAATCAGGTTTTAGGATGAGCAGAGCACACAGATTTTGTTCAGTCTATTTCATGGATAGTAATGGAGGAAAGAGGAAAAAGATTGAAAAAGAATTCCATCGGAACTAAATATGGATTGGCGGAATCCGGAATAAATATCGGAATACAGGAACGGGGAGGTTGGCTGGTAATTCCATGCCGGATTTCGTGTGGATTGAAATAATGAGGACCGATCGTAAAGGTCCTCTCGGGAATAGATGCAGTAGTTCGTGAGAATTGTCTAATGAGTGACTCAAAAGTGTCACTCTCTTGAATGCGGAAATAAAATCTCGGTGGGGGAGAAGGAATTTCTTCTAAGAACTCCATGCTGTCCGTAGAGTTCGTCGGAATTCCTTTGAGGGAAACCGGGATTGAGATGACAAATCGTATATTAGCGGAGGAATGTCAGGGAAAATTCGCTCCTTTAGGTTAGAGTACCCAAAAACGCGGGTGACGGAGATTAAGGGGGAGATAAAGGAATTCGAGAGGGAGATGAAGGAGAAGGAGAAGATGTCACCTCTAACGCGTCTCAGTTAGCAGGTAGAGCCGGCGGAGCCGGTGATGACGAAGGTGGTGGAGGCAATGCGTCCTTGGCTGGACAACTCCGATCTCGAGAACCCTCAAGGTAAGACATAAGGAACCCTCCGTACAGTAGAAACTATTTTCCCTTAGATTATTTTTTTTAATTTATGTTATTGTTACATCCAAACTTTGAAAATGGATTTAAAGAAAAGAGGGAATAAGAAGGATGAAGTGTAGAAGGACGGTCAGACTCTTGTCTCGCAGGTATTCGCACAAAGGCGAGTACTGCGAGTCGAACGCACTCTTTTGTGGTCGGAATATGGGTCAACGTCTTGCAAAGACACCTGCTATGACGCCTGTTTCCTACGAGCGGTGCGATCGTCGGTTCGAATTTTGAGTCAAGGAATCTAATCTCTTTAACTCAGGAATAGACCACATACAATCTCCGAAAAGCCAAGGTTAAACTACGAGGTTTTTTTAGGGTTTTATTATAAAAAGTCATCGCGTTTTTTTAAAAGACATCTATCAGTAAAAACCGCAATTATTTTCTTACCAACAATATAAATATATCTTAATAGAGTAAAGTTTCAGCTTTAAAAATTTCTTTTTTAAATTATACGATACGACAATTTTTAATGGAGTTATGAGCAATTAAAGTCAAAATAATTCTTTTATTTAATCAGCGATAACTCAGTAATCAAAAGTCGTAGGAATATTTAAAAAAAACGATTTTGTAGGGAAAGTATCAAGCTTTCACGATAGGTAATCGAAAATTTTCTCAAATTCGTTTTGGACACGTTACAAATCCACAAAGTGAGAAGAAAATTTTTCGCCTTTTTCAGCTCGTAGTTTTTGGAAAAATTATCAAACTCATATAAACTTAAAAAATGTGATAAGCTTTTAAAAGTAGAGATTTCAAGCTTTAAAACCCTTTTTTTAAATTTGAATTTTATTCATTATTGACGAAGATATTGTATATACAACTTTGAGCTAAAAAATACGCGATGACTTTTTACTTAACCTAATATTATCATTTAAGTATTATTTACGTTAAAATATTGTTAATAGTATTATTAGAAATCTAAAAGACGTCTTTTTTACTAGGAAGTAACCTATCTATGGGAAATAATACAAAAACCCAAGGGTTTTAAAAAGTTTTTTTTTAATACAAAAATAAGTATTTCAGATTTCTAATACCTTTTTCATAGTAGTACAATACAAAATTTTTACTGGTACAGTTTATTTATCTTAAACATAGTAAATAATACTGAAATTAAGTTTTCTAAATTACTAATTAGTAATTACTTTTTATTAATTGTTATACAAAAATAATTATTATAGTACAAAATATATTTTTAATAGAAAAAGTATTGGGAGTATAAACAAATTTCCGCCGTTTGAGAAACAATGGCGCTACCAGTATGTTATAGTTAAAATTGTCAGCTGTAAAACGTCATATCGTAAGGTTGGACATCTGGCAAGAACATAACCTTGAAATATTAGCGATTTTGCATCAACATCTTATATCTTTTTTCATATGAAAATGTCGAGTTTTGAGCCGAATAAGCATCATTTGCGGGAGCTTTTGATTTACTTCTTTAATTTGAGGAAATCTGAGGCGCATCAATTGCTTGTAGAAGCATATGGTGAGGCTGCCTTAAGTGAGAGAAGTTACCGTGAGTGGTTTCAAAAGTTTAAGAACGGTAAATTTGACGTCAAAGACAAAGAACGTAGCGGAAGGCCGAAGGTGTACGAAGACGCGGAATTGGAAGCATTATTGGATGAAGTGCCAAATGCAAGAAGCACTTGCACTTACATTAGGAATGACTCAACCAGCAATTTCACATCGCTTAAAATCGTTGGGAATGATTCAAAAGCAAGGAAATTGGGTTCCATACGAACTAAAGCCGAGAAACGTTGAACGCCGATTTTTCACATGCTGCTTGCCAGGCATAAACGAAAGGGTTTTTGGCACTGTGTAGTCACTGATGAAAAATGGATCCACTACGACAACCCAAAGAAGAAGAAATCATGGGGACCACCTGGCCTTCAACATCGACAGCCAAGCCGAACATTCATGGGAAAAAGCTCATGTTGTGTATTTGGTGGGATCAGCTAAGTGTCGTTTATTATGAGTTGCTTAAACCGAACGAAACCATTACTGAGGCTCTTTACCGAACACAATTGATGAGATTGAGCCGAGAACTCAAGGAAAAACGCGCCCACTCCAGACACGCTACTACTCCAGACACGACAAAGTTATTCTTCTGCATGATAATGCTCGTCCACATGTTGCGGCGCAACCGGTCAAAACCTACTTGGAAACATTCAATTGGGAAGTTTTCCCCCACCCGCCGTATTCACCAGACATTGCTCCTTCTGATTACTACCTGTTTCGATCGATGGCGCATGGCCTGTCTAAGCAACACTTCACATCATATGAAGATACCAAAAATTGGGTCGATTCGTGGATAGCTTCATCAAAAGATGAAGCGTTTTTCCGACGCGGTATCCATATGCTGCCAGAAAGATGGGAAAAAGTAGTGACTAGCGATGGATAATACTTCGAATAAAACATTAGGTACCGTTCTCTCACAATAAATGCCCAATTTTTTATAAAAAACGGCGGAAACTTATTTATACTCCTAATATTATAAATTCTTAATGCCTTTAAAACAATTTAGTTAAATTTTTGTCGTTTTCTGGGATTTTCAGTTAAACAAGTCAAAACCAAAAACAATTTTAATTCAAGTTGAAATCCAAGAATTAACTGCGGAATGGATATGCATTAAACATTTACTATTCAATTTTTTTGATGATAAAGTAACACAAGAATTTTTTTGTACCTTGAACAATAATGTGGTAACGTCAAAACGTGATTGTTTACGTTCGAAAGTTGAAGAAAATTTTGAAATAATGCAAAAAAGCTTAAATATTATTTGAAATAAGAATGATTCTAAAATATCATTTACAATTGATGGCTGGACTTCTGTTGCCAATAAATCATATTATTGGCAACAGAAGTCCAGGCATTACTGCTCATTTTATTAATAATAACTACAATATAATCTATAGTACTAGATTTGATATCTGCGAATGGCAATCATACCAGCAAAAATATAGCTTCCACTTTTTTTGGTATTACAAAAATATGAAATTAAAAGAAAATATGGAGGTATTACTGTTGATAACGCTGCAGCAAATATCACGTTTATACAAAAATTAGAATAAATCTAAATTCTGATGAATAAATGTGGACTTGAATTTAATGCAAAAAAACATTTCCGTTATTTTGTCCGTATTATTAATCTCGGAGTATAAGATACTTTAAAGTTATTACAATTGAAATCTGCAATATTTGTCGAAGACGAAGATAACAAAGATGATGAAGAAGAAAATGAACCGATACATGCAAATTTGTCAAACGTATCAAAACTTCGAATATTATTTAAGAAAATACTGTCAAAATAATGGTCAAAAAAATTAAAATGTTGCGAAATCACGGACGTAAAATATTTGTCGCCAAATATAGATGTCTCCACGGTTGGAACAGCACATATGATATGACCAAAACTGGTTTATATATATATATTTAAAAAGTCCATCGAATATCCTTTATGACAATAATGAGTGTTTACACAAATAAAAAATTTAATTAATTAATTATGATAATATGTGGGAATTATTAGAAAAATGTAGTAAACTTTTGAAAGTTAATTTTTAAAGTGTTTAAAACAGTATCAATAGTTTTAGGAGGCGATAAATATATTACTATAGCTATAGTTTTTGTCGCATTTAACATGCTGATTGATAACTTCGAAAAACTAATATTCGAACTAAATGCTAAAAAAAATCGGAATAAAATAAATGAAATATTAATAATTGTCTTTCAAGCAGGCCGTGATAAAATGTTAAAACATCATTACTCTAAAACAAACTGGACATATTGTTTATTATTAATTTTAGATTCGCGACATAAAATGTTTTGAGGTTACTTCCTAGGGTCGAGAAATGAAGAAAAACACATTAAAGACTTTTAAGGAAATGTACAAAAAGTATTGCCATAAAAATCAAAAAAATCGACAAAATAAATTTCAACATCTAATGTCATGGACATGTCCATTGAAGATGAAATAATATCAATTTTATTAAAACAAATTAATAATTAAAGGATAAAAGATATAATTATTTATGAAAAAAGAATAAAATAAAAAACAGAGGAGATCGGGGCAGATTGTTGTATGGAGCTGATTATCAAAATGCTTATAATTTAAACAGGACATGAAAGAAAAAAATCTCTTCTTTTACTATAGATTGCTGATATAATATTAATTTGTTGTGTAAAATGATTTGCATCACAAGTATTGTATATATTATTTATAGCAATTTTTAAGAAAATGAAGTTGGTAAATAAATTTTTCTTATCATCTATTTTGTTGTCAGATAAGTCTTTGGCATTGTTAATCGCGATATCTTTGTAATCATAGAAAATCCCATATGGAAAGAAACTGTTGAATATTATTAAGAACTATTGAAAAATAACTATTCAGAACTATTCAGAAAATTATTTATATTGTCAGTGATATTATGGATGCGTTCCACTTAACGGTCGCAACGCTCCCCTAACAGACATAAGATGTCCTCAGGATCATTCTGAATATATCCCAGGATATCTTGGACATTTTAAGGACATTCATATTTCCAGGATATCCTGTGGTCATCATTAGGATATCATCTTCGGAACACCTTCAGGACGTCCTTGAGATAATCTCAGGATGGCCTTGGGATAACCTCAGGATGGCCTTGGGATAACCTCAGGATGGCCTTGGGATAACCTAATGACATCCTTGGGATAGCTTCAGGATGTTTTTGTGGGACGGCCTCAGGAGATCTTTAGAACATCCTTCGGATAAAGTGTGCTAGGAAGACTTCGATAAAAATTTTGTAATACAAAAATGTATACAATTATTATAATAAATCTTACGTAAATGTGTACATTAATTAGTTAGTACATACATTTACTAAAGTTTACATTTTGTGACATATTCAAGTTATTATATTATTTACAAATAACACATAGATATGTGTCATTTCTTACATATTTTATGATGTCACGATTTACTATGGTAATTATTATACTCAGCTAGGAGTTTTAAACTTTTGTTTGCTGCTGTATGCATAATATAAATGAAAATTTTCACAGATATAATAATAAATCAATAAACGTTTTTTCTTTCTATTTTAATTTTAAAAGATTCAATATTGGATTAATTACACACAACAATAATATGAGGCTTATTCTTGTATAAACAAGAAAAAATAATTCGACAATATTGTACTAATTTATTACTGAATCCCATATTTCTTGTGTTTTTAATTTGTTTAAAATCAGTATGACGAGGTTCAAATATAGAAATTGTGCAAGTTCATACCATATTTACGAGATTTTTTTACTCTTATTCGTAAAAGTATTCTCGACACAAATGAGATTATCATGTCGATCATTATGTTATTGGAAAATGCATGATGATAAAGAGAAAGATATCGCATAAACAGAGTGATTCTATATTTTTAGTCGCTAGTGATACTTAATGCAACAGTGAAAGTACAACATATTCATCTTCTAATAATGCTAATTTAACATATTTTGTATAAATATTTTTTATCGGCGACATTTATAAAAAATCACTTAAACCGTGTACAATAAATATGTTTGATAATGATGATGGACATGGAACGTTGTAAAAATCTTGTTTATGTAAAAATTTATGACCTATGTATAATCACATTTATATCGAGATCTTTATTATATGCTATGTTCTTAATTAATATACTCGTACAATAGTTCCATTACCATTAATGCACAACAGTTATCACCTATTACATCTATACGTAATGTTATAATATATTTGATTTTCTTATTATTTTATATTGTGGATTACAACAACCTTGTATTAATGGTCCAAATGAATATGTTGATTTTAAATCTATAATAATTCTTTTGTCGGAAGTATTTTTGTTATTTTATTTTGTTCATACTCTACATATTTTCGAACAATTTATTGTAATGGTTTATCATATTTTTTTCAACAGTTTCTTTAGTGTTCGCAAAAAATTTTTATATTGTACTTAAATGCATTAAAATTATCTAATAAATCAAACTTTTTTACATCATTTACAAGATGAATAAGACCATGTATATTATGAGAAACATTCTGAATACCATAAATTAATACAAAAAAATTTAACAAAATGTTTTAGTAATTTTTAACGATATTCATATAAATTTTGTAAATATGTAGAACATAATATTCTAATAATAACATGTAACGTTATGAAATAATCATATATGTCATCTCGAAGAATATTTTTAAAAGCTACTGGTCCTATATATAAAAGCAGCTGTCGATATTCTGTAGCTTTCCACAATTTCATCAAAGTCAGTAATCGAGGGTTTTGTATAAACTCAGATGGTATGTGTATTTTTAATACATTTTCTAAATTTGATGGTATGTTTTGACATTTTCTATTCTCTAAACGAAATTTTATATTACCAAATATCCACAAGTACAATAATCGTCACATAACTCACAGATAAACCAAATGCACATAATCTAACGGTACATTATTTATTTGATCAAAATTTGGAATTACTTCAATGATTGATATTCCAATGCGATGATATTCATCATTTTTTAATCTAAAATCAAAATCTGTTCTCAATGGAGCATTTATTTGAGGAAAACAAACTTTATTACAACGGAAATCAACTTCTGTTGTACATTTGGTACAACTTGAATAACCAGTGTGTCTCTTAATTTGTAAAATGAATGCTTTTGCTGGAGCATTACATATTATGGAATTTATACTACAATACAAGGTCTGGCTATTAAATAACGAGACTGCGCGCGCAGAAGGCGTCCTAAAGGGGTAGGGTGGGAAACGAATGCAGCGTTGGATAGCTGGAAGTGTCTACTATTCCAGTACGAAAACACGTTTTTGTCGCAGTAGTAGTATTTTTTCTATAGAGGTTAGATACGAACTTGTTTTTTTCTCGTGCCGATAACAATGTGTGACGAAAAACACGAGCAACGGATCAATGTGAAATTTCTCATTAAATTAAAAAAAACTCCGACTGAATGCTATAAGTTGTTGAAAGAGGCCTATGGTGAGAATTCTCTATCTCGTGCGCGTGTTTTCGAATGGTTTAAACGGTTTTCTGAAGGCCGAGAGAGCACCGAAGATGACTAACGTCCAGGTCGACCTGTCTCTGTTTCAACTCCGCAAACAGTGACCAAAATCAATGAAATTGTGCGCGGAGATCGTCGTATGAGCATTCGGATGATTGCTGAGACTGTAAACGCCGATAAAGAAACTGTCAGAAAAATTTTACATGACGAATTAAACATGAAGAAAGTCTGTGCGAAGTTGGTCCCAAAAAATTTGACCCCTGACCAAAAGCTCGTCCGTCAACAGATCTGCTCAGATTTTCTTGAGAGGTTAGATGAAGAGCCTGAATTGATGGAAAACATCATCACTTGCGAAGAAACCTGGATATTCCAATACGATGTTGAAACTAAGCGGCAATCCATGCACTGGAAAACTCCTGCATCGCCAAGAATGAAAAAAGCAAGGATGTCGAAATCAAAATTTAAAGCCATGCTAATCGTTTTTTTCGACATCAACGGCATCGTGATGACTGAATGGGTTCCAGAGGGTCAAACTGTAAACCAAACTTACTATTTGACAGTTTTGGCAACACTGCGAGAGCGAGTTCGTAAGAAACGGCCGGAGTTATGGAAAAACAAGTCGTGGATCTTACACCAAGACAACGCACCTGCCCATAACGCGCTGTCTGTGAAGCGTTATTTAGCCACTAGAGGCACTCCAGTGCTCGAACACGCGCCGTACTCGCCTGATTTAGCACCCTGTGACTTTTTCCTGTTTCCGAAGATCAAGTCTGCCTTAAAAGGAACCCGGTTCGAGTCGATGGAAAAGGTGAAGCGAAAATCGGCGGAGCTCCTAAATCTCTTACAAAAGAAGACTTCCAGCATTGCTTTGACCAATGGAAAAAACGAATGGAACGGTGTGTGGCGAGGGGAGGGGAGTACATTGAAGGGGAGCATTCAATTGTAGAATAATTTTTAAAATAAAACTCTTTTTCATAAGCAATCTCGTTATTTAATAGCCAGACTTCGTACATAGAATATGTTTATCAATAACAATTCCATCATTACATAATAATTTTGTTTCCTCTATAAACTCTTTTAAAAAATCATTCGGATTACAAGGTTTCTGTTTTACCATAATATATTCCAATAATAAAAACTTACTTTGATTCTCCTGTTACGTCCAGGACTCCCACAACTCTTTTCTTTTCGTGGAGATCTGGAATTCGTTGAAATAAAAAGGCAGCTGCGAATAACGCACAAATGGAGCATTATAGTCTAGAGAAGACTAAAAATTTTTTCTTTTTCCACACTAAAAATTAAAACGAAAAATCCAGTATCTCCTCGTAAATATCGCTCCGAGATAAACTAAAAATCGGTACGCGTACACGAGCGGCGGGACCAAAAAGACACCAAGTCTGTGCCCCTAGGACACTGCGGCTAAATTAATAGTAAATATGTCATTAAAAGCGTAAGACCGGCGTCAAGATGTTCTTAACGGTCAAGTCGCGGACGATTCTCACGAGTCCGTGATCACAAAATCTAAGAAGAGGCACGCGACGTTCAGGGATAGATTCTGGGTGGTCTCGTGGCAAAGATGCACATGCGCCTTCTTGCCGCACTGCACGTGCGTTTTTTCCCATAAATTTTAAGATCATAAAATTTTGGAGAACACTTTTCCACACTACAAACTCCGGTCAATATCCATCCCTCCCCAAGATCTTGACCAATCCGAGAGCAAAGAAAAATCCTATTACTAGTCAACAAAATCTGTTCCACCAATCCGAATCTGAGTGATCAGAGACGATTAGTATAAACCGCGGTTCCGCAGTCCTCAGGATGATTTTTTTGTCTGAGTTTTGGGAAGCTATAGTTGTCGGGACCTTTGAAAAAGGCTTCATCCGATTCTCAAAGCCCTTTTTTTCCAGTAGTCTGTGCATTAACTTAAGATCAACGGTATTCCTTGATCGGGGAAATTGACGAACCGGAACCTGAGGCTCAGCATCCCACAGACAATGGCACCCTCTCCGACGGTCTCTTGGACACTCTACACATCGCTATCCCCGAGCAGTAAGTTTTTGATTTCGCTGCAGTACATTGGGTGGTCCCTCCCCTTCTTGTGTGATCTCACTTTAAAACATGACTAAATTTTTAGTGCGTTCACGCAGTTCTTCCGCCCCCCGTCACCGTCACCTAGCGGGGACTAACAATGCGCACCGATTCTCCGCCCGTGTCCGCTCTAACACCGAAAAACTCGCGAGAGCAATCTTCGCTAATTCAGGCATTGGCCCAAGAACAGACTCCGGTCGTTCTCCAGTTTCAACTATATCGCCACCACTAGAAATATCTTACTCCCCTGTCTTCGATCTGTCTCCAAACTTCTTCGATAACCTCTTCCCATCCAGTCCTCTCCCTATTCCACATTCAGTATCACCACCCCCGATTGAAGAACTTTCCGTCTCGCATATCACTTCCCCAAATTCTTCACGTTCAAAACAACTCTTACTCTCCCCCTGGTCACTTTCCTCTCCTCTTTCATAACGCCCATCAATTATTAAAATATGTAATCCAGTATAATACGGGATCCAGTTGCCTATTTTCAGTCCCCATACCATCCCTCATTCCCATCGATCCTTTTTCCTTCCAACCATATGATCCGATATAACTTTAATTTTCCCCTCCTCTTTTCAAATTCTCTATTCTCAAAATCTCTATTCTCAAAATAACGTCCGCATTGCAACTCTCTTTCCACACACATATACACACTCACACACACATAAATGAGTACATATATTGTATTTTAGAATAGAGAAAGACCGGACAATACCTGTGGATCTTTGGGGCGTGGCTCTCTTGTTAACCCAGCACCGTACATCGTCGATCGTTCTGTCCCTCTAAATATCAGTTCTCCCAATCCTATGATTTTCATACTCCCTAACTCCTTTCCGTCACAGGTCCCGTCGTCTCTGTCCACGGTCAGGGACGGTTGGTTCCTGAACTTGTCTTCGTGCGACATTCCTCACAATGTTCAATGTTTCCTACAACTGGGTGATAACTTCGCGCTCCCCTTTAACAACAAAAACAGGATTATTTTCAACTGCATCAAAGGTATTGAAAGTGGCACATTGAGGATGCCTTTGGACAGGAGAATGGATATAGTTAACCAGTCTATCCCCATCCTAAATAATATCATCTCTTCTCCTGTCTTCACTTCAGACATTCATAAACAGTTGACTGGGATGGAGTCGGACACTCGAGTGTTTTTGTCGGCGCATCCCAACATTGTGTTCACGCGTGCGGACAAGGGCAATGTCACTGTTGCTATCGATAGGAACACGTACAGAGATGAGATGATTGCGTTGTTGGGGGACTCGGACACATATGTCCGGATCAAAAAAGATCCGACAAAAAAACTTACGACAGCTTTAAGGTCTATGCTCACAAAATGGAAAAGGAGAGGTCATATCAAGGACTCCGAATACAGAGCGTTGTACTGTAGTGACGGTTCTCTTCAGAGGGCCTATGGACTGCCAAAGATACACAAGCTTGGTTGCCCTTTTAGAATTATCGTGTCATCGGTGGGCAGTCCGCTGTATCCGTTGGCTACGTTCTTACATAATAAATTATTCAAGACCATTCCGAAGGCCGACAGTAACGTTAGAAATAGTTTCGAATTAGTCGAAAAATTAAAGAGTGTACATTTCACAGGGGCACACGAACTAATATCTTTGGATGTCACCTCTTTGTTCACGAACGTGCCAACGGATGTAGCGATTGACTGTGTGAACGAACATTGGCATGTTATTGCTAGCGATTACTCGCTACCCAAGAAAGAGTTCTTGGGAGCAATTCAGTTTGTCTTAGACTCTACGTTCTTTTCCTTAGACAATGTGATTTACAAGCAATGCTTTGGCACTCCCATGGGCTCTCCAATATCACCGATAATAGCGGATTTGGTGATGAGGAGATTGGAGACGGTGTCCTTGATGTCGTCGAATTTTGACACCTTATTTTATTATAGATACGTCGACGACATATGCACTGTGGTACATCCCTCGCAAATCGACGGACTACTGAAACAGTTCAATTCATTCCATCCGCGCTTGCAGTTCACCGTAGAAAGAGGCGGAAATACGATTAATTTCCTAGACATTACGGTGTCTATCAATGAAAATCGATGTAATTTAGACTGGTACCGTAAGGCAACGTTTTCAGGTAGATTCCTGAACTTTCATTCTAATCATCCTTTGACGCAGAAAAAAGGCACCATTTTTTCATTAGTCGACAGAGCCTTTTTATTATCTGACAATATATTTCACACCAAAAATTTGACTTTCATCATTAATATCTTACTCCTAAATGACTACCCACTTGATTTTATTTTTGACTCTATCAACCAAAGAATAAAAAATTTGATTAAAAAGAAACACAATGTATATAACGTTGTAACCGATAGTGAGGTTACTAAGGAGTCTACCTCTTGGCTTACGGTTTCCTTCATTCCTCCTCACACAGAGAAATTCAGAACATTGCGCAAAAATAAAGGCGATATCAGGATAGCCTTCCACAGCCTCAACAAAATGAGCAAGTACATTAGAGTCCAAAAGGACACTTGTCCTCGTACATCGAAAAATAATGTCGTCTACAAAATTTTATGTAATGATTGCGACGCGTCTTACGTCGGGCAGACGGGCAGACAACTAAAAACTAGAATAGCAGAACACCGTAACCATATTAGATACAAAACCTCTACTCGCTCTGTCATTACCGAGCATAGGCTTCTTCATGATCATGATTTTCAATGGGACGATGTTCAAGTCCTGGATGAAGAACCTTCTTACAGAAAGCGGTTGATCTCTGAAATGTTGCATATTAAAAAGCAAAAAAAAAAAGTCTGAATCTACAAACGGACACCGAAGGTCTTCACAAAGCATATCTACCGATTATAAACAAAGTATGACTTTCGATTCTGTCGGCCCGTCTCCTCTCCTCTCTCAGTGCGTTGCGTTCCGTTTAAGCGAGCGGTCGCGTCGTGAGCGACGCCGACATGTCCGGCTCCGGTGTGTGCAGTCTTGCCGGCATGTTACGGTTTATACCTGTTTTACTTTTGCATGTGCGGCGGATCATATTGATTTGTTCAAGTTTGCTGGTGAGTGTGCGATTTTATCGTGATTGCGGCGATTCTAATTATTAAAGTCTGTTTTTTCTTACAAGTTCTTTCGGTCTTGTCTAGCGATCTGACTTTGACACTGAACATCTTGACTGCTCAATCGCACGTATTTTCGAGATCCATCCGAATTTTATTTTCTTACGTTTTATGTTGATTGCGACATGAATTACTTTTTATTTTTTGTTTTATTTTATCACACTTTACATCTGAAGAGGGCTCAATCCTGTAGCCGAAACTTGTTATGTTTTTATGCATTTTTTTATACATTTATACATTTATATGCGCCGCTCCGTATCGATTCATCTTCGCCTAATATTTTAATTAATTAAATGTTTTATAACCTAATGACTCTTTGTTCGCCGTTTATTTTGTTTGTTTATTTATGTTATATTCAAGAGTCTTTACATCGTTGTTATTTAGAATAGAGAACCAAAATTGTATTTTTTTTATACTTAAGAAAAATGTATCACCAAATATTGTCTTTCATTATGGTATTATTATATTAAATTAATTCTCTCGGTTATCAGTCAATTTAAATAAAACCTCTCCTTGTATTCATTAGCTCTCCCGCGGTTGCACTTTCCCCTCTCCCTGGTCACTTGGATTAAGTTTCATGACTGAAAGCCAGGGCATACGGACGTACTGGCACATCTGGCGTTAAAGTGCGCCTTTCCGGCACACTGACCCAGTTTGGGGACTTTAAATTAAAAGTATGTCCGACTCGTGTGTCCATTTAGAGGAGCACGAGTTGAAGTTTCCACTTCGTCCTCCATTCAATCCCCGACTCGTTAGAAGCCTCAGGACGAAACAAAGTGCCTCCCGATTTGCGTCGGTTCTTCCCCACTGCTCCCTTACGGTCTAATAATTCGGTTTCTGTTGCGTTCACCCCCTCAGCTCTATGCATGTAGAGCTTGGACGACAGAACTTGAAAAATTGAGGGCTCGTCCGGGGGATGAGAAAGTGCAATCTTGGGAAGCAAGAATGAATACGAGGAATTTAGGCGATAAGTCAGAAGTAGAGAACTTTTACAAGACTGCGATAGAAAATTTGAGTAAAATAAAATCAAGTACACAAAACACATTACCAACTTCTATTCCTATCAAACCCATTAGAAGCACACAAAAACTCGGGAACCGACTTCTCTGACCAAAATATTAAAGCGATTTTAGAGAAAGACATGTGTAAATGCTTCATTCGAGAACTAAAACCAGAAATCGAACAAAGAATAACGAGAAATTTAGGTGTATAAGACACGGTAGCCGACGCTCTAACAATAGAAAGAGAACTGCAACAGATGACAGACTTATGACAAGGACGGACTCTACGGGCCCAAGCACTTTAAAAGATCTCACAAATAACTCGAGAGCAAGTTGTCAGATATGTCATAAAGAAGGACATATCGCCACTGAATGGCAAAAATTAAAGTATGATTTAGAAACCGAAATTTTAGTCTGTCAAATTTGTAAAAAACGCGGACAAGGTGCCGATAAGTGTCGGTTGCGCGATCCCCGCTCTGCACGAAGAACGTACTGCCCCATGAACGTAATGCAATCCAATGTAATTTCCTGCCAGTTATGCTCAAAACAGAGCATAACGCTAAAATGTGTCGAAATAATAATGTTAATTTCTCATCAAATAAAAATTCTATTGTTTGCCAATAATGTGATAAATCTGGCCACTTCACTGTCAATTGCTGGCAAAGGCAAAACTCCGAACGCAATTTCGATAATAAAAGAATTATTTGCCACACTTGCAATAATCCGGGACATAGTGCTAGAGAGATTGCCGTTCAAAATTAAATCAACAGAGTAATTTAAAAAATAGTGTATTCTGTCGCTTGTAAAGAGACGGGTCATCTCTTCGAAGAATGTCAGTTGCACATTGCGAGCAATAACCGGAGAAATACTACCCACCAGGGAAACTCCGACGGCCCCTTGAAGACGGATGTGCAACAGGGGTCCGAACGGATCTTATACCCATTGACATCTCAAAAGAGGCAATAGATAAAAACACATTGGAAATACGAGCCGTAAGTGACTCTCAGTAAACACAGTCGTGTGCCTACTGTCAAAGCAAATCTTTGCAAGTCCATTCCGATCGTAACTCTTATGCTAGACACCGGTTCAGGAACATAATTAAAGAAATTTTTATACCTAAAGGCAGCACTATTGACTATAATAATATTTTAAAACTACTATAAATGGCATAAACGAATATCCCGTCTACACCCTCGGAAAAATAACTTCATCGGTTTTTAGAAAAGAAGTAATTTTTCATATTGTATCTAATGACTTTCCTATTTACAGGCCGGCATATTAAGCAATGATTTCTTTGAACAGAATTCTTCAAAAATAGATTACGCGAAGGGATACCTAAATACATCGGGAATAAAGGTATCCTTCTTGTCACCAGAAACCATCATTGCATCTCCTCGGAATCTTTATTTTACATCAGAGTAGAAAATCCTGAAATAAAAATTGGATATATTCCGAAAATAAAAATAACTCACGGAATTTATTTAGGAGACACCGTAGAAAGTGTCTCTAAAAAGGCATATTTAAACATTATATGCACGTTGACGAAAAAGTAGAAGTTCAAGTGCCAACTTGCGCCTTAAGATAGATTATTCGATAATCACAAATTAACTATCAAAACGCAAGAGGATCGAACAGGAGTTACGGATATACAGGTCGATTTTACGGATTTGAACTACCAAGAACGTAATGAAGTACCCAACTGCGATGCAGACTTAAAAAATGGCAAAGACAAGTCTATGAATAATAATGAAGACGAAAAAATTAAAATTGAAGAAAATATGACGTTAAATGAAGCAAAGAAAGATACTAATAGCACTATCTAAAATAAGGGCGAGACTAAAGTTAAAGGAAAAATTCAAGAAATTAGGAAGAGAGAAAATAAAAAATTAAATAAAAATTCTAATCCAGAAGAAGGTTCTCAAACCTTCACCGAGACTCTAGATTTCAAAATCCACGAGGAAAGTTACCAAACCCCTCCTGAAAATCAAATTAACTCCAAGATCCTGGGAGAGGGAAATTTCCAAATCTCTCTTAAAAATTTATCCAGCTCTAAAATCCTTGGAGGGGAAAGTTATCAAACTTCCTCCAGAAACCAATCTAATTTCCAAATCTTTGGAGAGGGAAATTTCCAAATCTCTCCAAAAAATTTGAATAATCCTAGAATTCCAGAGGAAGGTTCCCGTACCTTTCTGATAAATTCTACTCCTGTCGGTTGCGAGGAGGAAAGTAACCAAATCTCACTACGCAATGCGATTCAATTTTATTTTAAAGAATCCAAAGGAAAGGACTTTTTAATACTCCCAGAAGAAATCAAATTCTCCAGAGTTCGAACATCCATGGGTAATAATAATCAAACCTCTCACATTACTAATGAAGAACTCGTAAAAATAATAAAATTATATGATCAAAATGTCAGATCCTCCTATAATTACGAAAAGGAAAGTGAACCGTCTTCGAAAATTCTTGCATCGACACAAGTTCAATCCTAAGAAGTAATAGAGAAATTCATACGTAAATGTAAATCAAAATAAAAGGAGAGGGCAGAAAAAGACATAATAATATATCTCTCGATGCTTTACATTGTCAGAGGAATCTAATAAGAATAAACATACAGAAATTGTGGAATTATTATGTTTAAAACACTTAAATGAACAAGAAAAGAAAAACATAATAAATCTTATATCCAATAGCCAGGACAGATTTCATATTCCTGGAGAAAAATTAACTGCGACTAATGAATTGCAATATAAAATACCTACAAGAGACAATCGACCTATAAAAATACACAATACAAATTCCCACAATTTCATAAAGAGGAAATAAAGCAGGTCGAAGAACTGCTCGAAAGCAGCATAGTAAAGCTTCTCAATCGCCTTACAATACGCCTACATGGATAGTCCCGAAAAAAGAGAACTTGAAAGGAAACAAGAAATGGAGAATAATGTTAGATTTTCGCGCTCTGAACGAAAAAACTGTCGGAGACGCATATCCATTATCTAATATTGTTGACATTCTAGATCAATTAGGCGGAGCACAATATTTCTCTGTATGTGATTTGGCTTCCGGATTCCATCAGATAAAAATGGATCCTGCGGATAGCCATAAGACCGCTTTTACAACTCCTTTCGGGCATTGCGAATTCGAATGCATGCCCTTCGGATTAAAAAATATTCCTGCTACTTTCCAAAGATTAATGGATCTAGTACTCAAGATTACAAGGCCAGGAATTATTTGTTGATGACATGGATGACATTGTCATATACGCCACATTCGTTAAAAGAACACGCGAGAAAATGTAATAGACCGACTTCGAAAAGTTAATTTGAAATTATAGCCAGATAAATGCGAATTCTTGAAAACAGAAGTAACATATCTAGGGCACGTAATCAGCAAGAATGGAATCAGACCGGATTCAAAAAAGTTAGATGCCGTAATGACATTTTCCCAGACCTAAGACTCCGAAAAATATTAAACAATTTCTGGGATTAGCAGGATATTATCGCAGATTTATACCAAGCTTCTCGAAATTAGCGAAGCCACTAACGAACTTATTAAAGAATGACACGGTTTTCGAATGGACATCCGTTCAAGAAGAATCATTTGAGACATTAGAACAAAGATTATGCGAAGAGTCTGTTTTATTCTGATTTTTCAAAACCTTTCATTTTAACGACAGATGCTTCTGGAATACCCGTGGAAGGCATCTTATTACAAGGAGAAATAAATAAAGACCAACCAATAGCATACGCCTCTCGAACATTAATCGACAATGAAGTAAAATATGATATATATGAAAAAAAAGCGTTAGCAATAGTATATTGTGTTAAACATTTCCGGTACCATATTTATACGGATGAAAATTCACGTTGATCACAGATCATAAATCATTACTCTGGTTTCAAAACGCACAAGATGCAAATATAAGAATATTCCGCTGGAGACTGTAGCTTGCCGAATATAACTATGACATCGTATATAAAACAGGAAAAACCAATGTAAATGCTGGCGCTCTATCAAAAAATCCTGTAAACCTCGAAGAAGTAAATTGCAAAATAATTAATCCTAATACGTAAGCTGCTAGAAAAGTTTCTGCAATCCAGTATTTCCAGTGGCGCCAACGTTCTGCTACTATCATATCCGTAAAATTAGACGTTTTTAACCTATAATTCAATTGACAGTTTGTACCCAAGCCAACTAATTTTGTTTGCATAGTATTTTGAAAGAAGTTATTTTGTAAGAAAATGGAAATTTCGCGAGAAAATTTTCGGGCAATGATTTTTTACGACTACAAATGTAATCTAACTCCGAAACAATGCATCGATCGACTTCATTTGGCTTTTGGGGATGAAGCACCATTCAATAGGACTGTTTATAATTGATTTGCCGAATTCCAGCGTGGACGTACCTTTCTTAATGATAAATTCCGTGAAGGTCGTCCATCCACGTCTGTTGTTGCTACTAATGTTGATGCTGTGCGTGTTGATGCTGTGCGTGAAATGATTGAGCGAGACCGGCATATAACATACCGCGAGATTCAGGCATCCTTAGGTATTGACATGAAAGCAATACATACGATTTTGCATGATCACTTGAGCGTATGGAAACTTTGCAGTCGTTGGATCCCACACAATTTGACCGAAGTTCAAAAACAGGCTCATGTTAAATGGAGCAAAAAAATGCTCAAGAAATTCAACCGAGGTCGGTCAAATTTGGTCTACAACATCGTTACTGGGGACGAAACATGGATCTATTCGTATGAGCTCGGAAGTAAACAACAATCCACTGTTTAAATATTTCAAAATGAATTAAAACCAACAAAAGTTGTTCGTTCACGCAGTGCTGCCAAGCAAATGATTGCTTGTTTCTTCGGTTATACCGGACATGTGACAACCATGGCTTTAGAGGATCGAAGGACTGTAAATATTGATTGATATACAACAATTTGTTTGCCAGAAGTCATAAATGAATTGCGCAGAACAAACCGAAATCGTCGCATCATCCTTCATCATGACAACGCCAGCTGTAACACAGCACGTCGAACCGTTGACTTTTTATCCAGTAATAATGTCGAATTGATGACTCATTGTCCGTATTCACCTGATTTATCACCTAATGACTTCTTTTTGTTCCCAAACATTAAAAATAAAATGCGTGGTGAGCGATTTGAGTCGCCTGAAGCAGCTGTTGAAACATTTCGTATACTGATTTCTGAGGTTACAGCCTTAGAGTGGAAAAAATGCTTCGAAAATTGGTTCGAGCGTATGCAAAAATGTATCGATCTTAAAGGCGAATACTTCGAAAAACAATAAAGCCATTTACCGAATTGTATATGTTTTTTTTTTTCATATTGTTTGCAGAAACTTTTCCAGCAGCGTAGATCATTAAATCTTGACGATCCGGAAGACGTAGAAATTGTTTCTAGAATGTTAGAAGAAACCGTCGAAGAAGAAGAGGACGAAAATTTTGAATTTTATCTTTCGGACAAAGAGAAAGATGAAGATCAAATGCCCGATGATAATCTGTCTGACGAGAATACAGACACAATACTACTATTCACACATAAAGAATTGTGCGAGCCACCGAGATTATAAATCTGAAGAAGCACTAATCCATGAGCCACCTAACTGCAATGGAATGCAAACCCGAAGTCATACAAAAAATAAGAACGTTTGTCAAGAAATATTATCGCAGGAAAATGAACATGAAATCAAAGAAATAGGAAATAGAAACAATCCACCGGACAAGGAAAAAGATATCGAAGAAAATGCAAATACCGATGACGAAGACAAAGAATCGGACAAAAATAACAAAATCGAAGCTCGAAAATAAAGATTATCAAAGGTAACATAATAAATAGTCGCGATTTATTATTTCTACGCAGAGATAATATTGCTTATTTTATTAACACCGATGGAAGGCCATTAGAGTCAGGCTCTCAGAAACTTTTCGAAAGAAACGAGATCTCTTGTTTAAGAGACCTGACCGTAGGCCAAGCCAAAGCCCTATAAAATATAAACAGCATTATTATGTTGCTTTGCCTGTTAGCGAAGGGCAACGTGAAGGTCCGACAATGACACTCTCTCAAATTTCTACAGTGGTAAAAGATTTACGAATAAAAGTTTTACCATCGTTGAAAAATTAAAATTAGAAACCATTAGTATCGCAAAGACGGATTTTGTTAATAACGTACCATGGAATGATATCAAACTTTTGTTACAATTAGCTTTCATCGATTCAACAACTAAATTAATAATAGGCAATGGATTAATCAAATATTCATCTAAACATCTTCGATCTATTATAATTGGCGAAAATTGGCATTACTCGCCTACTGGAGGATATCGAAGCGTTTCAAAGACGTATCACAGGATAAAATACAATTATTATTGGAAAATCTAAAATCCGATATTCAACAATATATTCAGCAATGTTTGCTATGCCAATTGAAAAAATTAGTAAGATTCAAAACTAAACAACCAATGATAATCATCGACACGCCAGGAGCTTTTTTCAACAAAGTAGTAATGGATATCGTAAGACAGAAATAGAAAGAGATAATGAATATTTTAACACGATCAATTAAAGAAATTTTTGTATAGGAGTACCACTGCCAGATCAGACTTCCAAAACAATAGCTTTTGTAGACAGATTCATTTGCGTATTAGGAGCACCAAAGACTATATTAACCGATCAAGGAAGAAATTTCATCATCGACTTAATGAAAAAGGTTGCAAAAATTTTCAAAATATGCACCTTCCGCATAACCGCTTTTACAATCGAATGGATCATTAGAAAGATCGCATCACGCTTTAGATAAATATTTGAAACAATATGCAAATTCGCAAAAACAATGGGATAGATAGATCAGCCTTGCAATGTTCCATTACAATACTAACGTAGGCAACAAAACACATTCCGTACGAATTGATATTCGGAAAAATAGCTCGAATATCTTTAACTTTTAGCACCAAATGACAAATTATCTAATTACAATGATTATTTCATAAATCTTGTCACGCAATTCCATTCCATACAGACAAATGCTCGTGAAAATGTTATCAAAGCTAAAGAAAAATCAAAGAAACATTATGATAAGAAAATTAATCCGCAGATCTTTAAGCCTGGAGATCAGATATTTTTACTAAACGGACCAAACCTGATAAATTTGGAGATCAATACACAAGCCCACACGAAATCCTAGAAATATTAAACAGAAACAATATTAAAATAAGAGTGAAGAGAAATAATCGCATTGTTTATCCACCTCAACCGTTTGCGAATTTCTCACATTAACCCAGCTCGCAGTAATTAAACAAGCAATCAAAGTCAAATCGACATTTCAAATAATGGATCGTTTCATCAAAGGAATAACTGCTATATTTATTAGTAATATGGACCAGAAACATACAGAATAATAGGCTCCGCTATGACTCCGCATTTGCAAATTTAACAACTTTATCATTAATAAATCGTCGAAGAATGCGACATTCCACACAACAAACAGTAAATTCCACCAAGGTTTATGTACAACTGCTTCAACTCAACGACTTTAAAGGTGATATAGTGCAAACTTGAAATAGACTGTAAGAAGATGTGGAATGTTTTCCTATACCCTGGACGTACATAATGGACAATTCTCATAGCTGATGTGTCTCGTGAAGCATGTCAACGCATGCATATTTATGAGAGTTTCGAAATAGCAGGCACTTGTATAATAGGATTGATATCAAATCTGATAGCTTCGCGCCCAATAGTTTTAGATGGCCATGTTGATCATGATGAGGCATGTACTGGTGGCACTTATTTCAATCCTTACGAAACTTGGGGAAATGTCCTTGTATTAGGCAACGTCAAAATTATCTTACAGGATTATATTGCCGATGTAAATACAAATATTGCAAATAAATACAAATCGCGTATACCTCAGATCAGGAGTAACCCGTGAATTAAGTGCCACTCGATGCACTGATAAAGAAGGAGGAGAAACCTATTGGGAACCCATATCAGCTGATCAATGTAAATTCTCAGATTATGGCGTGTTGTATACCGGGCACGCCAATAAAATATTTGATTTTACTAATGAACGCTCTCAAACACTATTCGTTAACCACGCCGAACATAATTTTTTCTTTAACAAGCACTGGAAAATATATTTTGTTTGTGGACACACACTTATCAGAACCGAACATCCGAAACTAATAATTTTTGAGACCTCATCAGGAGCCGAAGTCTTTAAAATATCTGGCTTTGTATCAGTAAATCTCGACCTTTTCACATACGTAAATTCGAAATTCGTATACGTGAAAAGGCATATACGTACTCAGATAAACCAGCTATATAAATACCAGATGATGCAAAACCCGTTAGCAATAGCCCCTAGATCATCTGACGTTTTTGCATATCACTTTATGAAAGAACCTGGATACATAACACTTTTAGCCGGAAAAATAATTTACATTGTAAAATGTGTACCAGTCGAAGTAACATTAGCTCGGATCTTCGCTACGAACAACTCCAGTACTTCGAGGAAACAAAACATACTTTCTAACTTCGCAAACGCACATATTGATACGACGCGACGCGGAACTCAGATTAATTGCAATTCATTAGCGCTCATCATGTATCTCTTAGGGGATGCATGGTACAAAATGATGCCTAAACCTGTAGAAACAGCCCACCGTAATGAAGCCTTCTACAAAACCATCATGGAAATATGTCAGCTTAGGATCATTGGCAACTAGTGGTATATACTCTCAATTCGACTTAGAGGGACCTAAAGATTATATAATGTTTCCCGCAGAGCGATCAGCAATTTTCAACACATAGCAAGAGACATTTTGGGACAATCAACCGTTCAACTTAACGGAGGGTCACTCTCAAATCTCATTGACGAAGCATCATTAGAGAGAATTAAAATCTCCACATGGACAAAGTTTTGGAACAAATTTTTGATATTTGGAAATATTAGTGCTGGATAGAGATATATTTGATCAGCATACTTTCAAATTCTTTCTTAACACATTCGTACATGAATACGTCTTACACACAGTATACGAATGGTCAGTGTATCGGCTAGGAGCCATATGGAATTTGCTTACCCAGCTTCTATTACACTTAGAAAAAGATAGACCTAAAAACGGAAAGTCCAGCGCGCCAGCACCCGATGCGCCCGAGAACAATAACCCCGAATGTAGAAAGACTTTGCCTCTCACAGATATGAAGGAACAAACCTATCCCCTCCTTCCTTACTATGGAAACGACGGCTTACATTTTGAAGCTCAGGAGTTGAAACACTTGTTTCCCTATCTATGACACATCTATCTCTCTATTATAATACATAACCGCATGCTATGACATGTCAGTTCGCATGTTACGCCATGCAGATTTAATCTTAATCGCATGCTACACCATGTCGACATAATATAACTTTTAAAAGAAATTTTCATGCTACGTCATGCACCCATCCATTCTAGCATCCGTAAGCACAAAAAAAATCTCCATTATTTATTTGTAGAAAATGGATATTAGGGGTATCAACACCAAGGATCTATGCCGCGGGTTCTTGCACGTAAGAATCATCAAGGTAGACTCATCTTCTTGTGGGTCCAACTCTATCACGCCCGAGAAGATCTCGAAGAGTTACTTGAAGATCTCATGTGCGGAAAGGGGCGGAGACTGATTCATAACCCCGACCGCGTGCTGCCAGACGAATACGTCGCGATATGCGACGGAAAAACTTGGCAACGGGGAGATAATGAGTCTCGAACGAAGAGATACGGTCCTATTAAATAGCATTAAGAGACTGGGACAGTATCATCCGACGTCCGATCACCGATATATTGGAGGATCGTTTTTGGGAGATGAATTGGCAAGCCATCCCTTGCGGGTTTGCCCACCTTGGCTGTCGGATTAAGACCCGGGTGGCCCCGGAAGAGCAGGGCACTCACTAAGACTTCTGCTAGGAAGGAGAGAAGGATGAATGCGGATCCTCGAACCCGTAGAAACCTATAGTAGGTTATAGGTATAGTAGGTATATGCTGTCATCACGCTTGAATTGAAGCGTGAAAGCGAAAATGAAATGAGCAGCCTGCAAGATCTGCTTATTGCCATGGGATGTCTTCAACATACTGATGCGAAGATAGTGCCAGCAACATCCGGCATCCAGTAATAATATAAGTCTACACCTTCATCCTTATGATGATTATATTAAGACATTTTATATATTCTATACCTTATATATCCCCACACACTATATTATTATTATTATATTCCCTTTGTCTTCATTACATTATCACAGTTATAATTGTAACGTCTACATATATTAACGATTAGATTTATAAATATTATGTAAACCTTTTATCTATCCTTTTCCTTATTTCTATATTATTAGATTAATTGCATCTTTAAATCAACATTATATTCTTATTGGGAGTACAAATTAATTCGGTCCATTTCTAAAACATGGCTCCAGCTGTTCCAGCTGGTTCATAGTGACAGCTGATTTTGGCGGTTTCAGAAACCTTAGACATCTGCTAATAATATTCAGTTCATATCGCTTTGAGTGTCATACAAAAACCTTGATTTTTACTGT